GGATCCAACATTAGGCAATCGTCGACAATGTCTACAAACAAATGGGACGGAGACCCCGCACCAAACCATTCAATTCCGCAGATCCTGCGTCATCGCAGATCCCGGCCTCCAGTGACGCCCATTTCGTGCAGAGGGTGGGACAGCCCCCGAAGCGCTGGTGGTGTGACACCGCGCTCGCCTCGATGCGCTCGGAGGATACAGCTGCTGGCGCTTCCTGGAGGAGGGTGTCGCTCCTCCGACGCTTCGGCCCGGTCGCTTTGAGCCGGTGGACAGCGGCACGGGCCGCGTGTGCCGCGGCGCTGGCGGCTCGGCTGGGGGCGGAGGGACTGGAAGGTGTTAGAAGGTGTTGATTTCATGAATTCACTGATTGAATCCTAGGGTCCCTGGCCCACTGTTCCACCATTCCTTTTAATGGTTTGAAACCAGAAGAACCTTTTGTTTCTCCATGTTTTACTAAGGGTTTTACACCACACAAATTCTGTTCATGGTCTTGGAAGAAGGCCTGACCGGTTAGTTGAGGGAACCGTTCTTCTACCTACATATCCATCCCAAAGTCCTGGATTACTGTAGTACAGACGTTTTTTTGTATTGTTGACGTTCTGTATCATGTTTTTTTTAAAATTGGACAGAATTATGGTTTTGCTTATAAGCCTGCTTTGTCCTTACGGGTCAATTCCATTCTGAGGGAGCACGTTTTTCCTTGTCATGCAGCAAAATTGAAGTTCGATGTGAGAGAGCCAGGGTTACTCGTTTTTGCTCAGGAGGGAGCGATCTAAGGAGCCCGTAGTATATATATATATATACTATAGTAATTCATATATTATATATACCAGGACCATCCAACAGGTATCCAATGGACTACTCTACACTACTATCCGGGATCTCCAGACAGGACACCCAGACAGGATGGTCCTGGTATGTGTATATATATATATATATAGCAAGGAGCCGGAACTCGGGTCGCAACCATGGGAGGTCTCCAACTGTTTGGGCCGTTTGTTTTTCTTCATGTGGATGTTTTTTCAGATAACTAGACTCGGAACACGAGAGATAAAAAAATACTTGGAAGCCTCCGACTTTGTTGAACCAATTGATTGATCATGATATCAGTGACTATAATACAATTTGCACCAGGAGTTATGCACAAGAGATGTTTATTGAACAAAACCTGGTTTGGGACTTGAAGACCCTCAACAGGTCACACCCGTTCTCACCCGCCAGCTGAGCTTTCTGAAACCTCGGACAACTTGAGGTCCGTCGGACAACTTGAGCAGCTACTTCACGGTGAGCAACGCTGCATCGTTGTTGTCCTGCCAAGAGCTCTGCCAGACAACCAGCAACTGCAAAGGACCGAGGGACCGACATACAAACCAAGGGGTGGGAAGTGAAGATCGAATGAGAAGGCGTGGCTCATGTTCCAAGGCGGTGACCGCATTTGAACAGGGACGCATGGCGGTTTGCCCCCTTTGGGACGTTGAAGTTGGCTCTCAACACACCCAAGGTTCATGGAAATGGAAAACGATATGAATGAACAATGGAATTCCTAAGGCAAGACTTGGTTCATCAAGGTTCCTCACCAGGAAGACGGCGGACTACACCAACCGACTGGGAGAATCTGTCGTGTTTGTTCTTCCCTTCAGAGAGGTAGGTTCATTGGGATGGCATCAAAAATCCTATACGGCTCGTTTGGTTGGGATATACTTTTGGTATCTGTTGGTTTTGAATTGAAGACATTTATGACTTCAGTCGATGGCTTGCGTGTGTTCTCAGCTAGCTTTGATCGAATCACGTCAGGTCTTGTGGCTTCTAGGCTTTGTTCCTGGAAAAGCTCATCGAACCATCCCCGGATCGACCGTCCCTCAGCAAACCCCGGTCCTTGCAAAGGTTGAAGAACGTGCTGGCTAGATATGTTTTTCCTGGCCATGAGGCAGAAAATATGAACTTTATGCACCCACCATGTGTTAGTAGGGTCCTATAAGGCCACTTAACCTCTCTTGCTCCCTCCTGCAGGAGTGGAGTACCACACGAGCTCCGGCCGCTGCGAGCTTTGGACGCGCGAGCAAGGCCCAGATGATTATATAATATATGGGAGTTGATCTAAAACCCCGTGTAAGGAGTTTTAGATAAAACAGTCTTTCAGATGTTGTTAAAACCATCCGCGAAGTAGCATATATGATCAACTACCCTATGTGTTCAGCTGCATAGTTCTGTTCAGCTGCCGGAGCGGTTCTGTGGCCTTGCCCACGCGGAAAAACTCGAGGTGTGGATATATATATATATATAAGAATTATATAAGGGTGTTGTCCTGAAACAAACAACCATTATGACCATTTTTTTGATACCAGCCATGCATGTGATGATAGACCTATCTGGCGCGCAGGGAATCAGACTTCTGCGCCTTCCAATTCCAAACGACGCCCGTCCTCGGTCTCTTTCCGTCCTTTTCTCCACCACGCCCTCCCCCTTTTGGGGTCGGACCCTGCGGTCTAGGCATCCAGAGCTCCCGGGCCAGCGAAGGCGCGGGTCACCGCTGGGTCGTGCCCGTTTCACCACGGAGATCCGGACGCGGTCGACGCCGAGCGTTCGGAGAACAGGTGGAAGAAAGTCCAAGGCTGAAGGGCTCTAATTATATACATTTGCAGTTGGATTAACACACAACTATAAATATACACCAAATAAACGGATCCATTTTCAGGTCACGTAGTAACCATTAGTAACCTCTGTTGGTTGGGCTCCTTACCACCGTGACCCAGCCCGGGAATCCCAGGGTCGTAGTTTGCATGACTCCGGTTACTCACTCCATGAGTTACTTCATCACCTCCAAAAAAGAGGGACAATTTTTGTTTGCCCAAGGTTTTGAGGTCGACGGAAGGACACTGGGTCAAGGGATGGCAGAGCATGGCAGAGGATGCTTCTCGTTGTCTCCTCCAGACTCTGGAAGGATGGTTTTTGCTTGGTAAACGCTGAGGAGAGACGGTGAACATGAGGCCTGTTTTGGAAGGCCATATGTTGTTTTAAACGAGTGGGTGTAGTGTCAAAGCGTGATGAAGTAAGCCAGTGTTATCCCCATGTACTCTAAACCAAATGACTATCATCTCTCTTGAACTTGTTTTCAGACCAGGCTGTTTTACAAATGCAACAGTTGGCAACAAAGTGCTTTTAGAGAGACACTATCCTGAAGGAAATTGCAATATCACAATTTCAACAACTAGCACATTGGTTTGTTAGGTGACAACACCTGAAGGCAGAACGAAAAGGATAGAAGAAACACACCCTCGAGATCTCTTGTGCCAAAGACAGCCCTGTTTGCTGGGCGTTTCGTCTTCTCCCCCCGCGATGTTGGCTCTGGAACTTTCGAATTTGGGACGATGTTCAGGCCGTGCATGGTCAATTACGATACAACCACCACACCGCGCCACCGTGCCGGCCACACCGCGCCACTGTGGTGTGTGGCTGACTTCTGACAGCCATCGGATTGTTTTGAAACGTGTTGCATGATCAGAGGAGGCGTTTTGGATGCTTTTGCCTAGGCGTTTTCATCCGTTTTGTATGATGGCAATCACAGGTTCCAAGATAGTCCAAGTACATTCAGCTACCATTGTGGACAGGGTACTGGTGTTGATTCCTTCATGAAAGACACCAGATTGGCGGCTGGATGACTTTCTTCACGCGGTGACGACGACGCTGCTTTTTGCTGGCGGTGATCTCCAGGCTATAGCTGCTGGAGATTTGTGGAAAGCCTCGTCTCTTGGGAAAGCACTTAGTACTTTGGTGTTCCACGAGAGGCAAAATAGAGTCGACTAGTACATCAAAGCATGGAAGTCCGAGTATTGTGTGGTGCACAGACCAAATAGGTTTGGGTGTGTGTTATTCCTGGGAGTCAAATATCACAATTTATGATGTATATACCACCCTGCAAAGTATGGGAACCCGAAATGGAACTGATTTCGGGGGTCCAAAGAGGAGGTCGAACGAGGTGGAGAGGCACTACTTCACTTCCCAACTCCTTTTCAACCCCACGTTGGTAGGTTTTTATGTATAGCCTGGAGAGTCGCTGAATGTGAGGTCTTGTTGAACAGCTGACTGTTGCTTGGACCATGTTCGCTTTTGTAAAGAGAAACACATCCATGTGGATTGCTGAACAGTCTGAAGTCTGCAGGATGCATGGTCTTACGTTCGGTAGTGCAGGTCTTAGTCGCCAACTGTTTGTTCCTGGTCAATGTTTGGCTTTGTTGTTCATGTTCTATCTTCTTGACAACAACCGTTTCGCTCGCCAAAAAACATCAAATCACCTGTTCGGGAGTGCCTATGTGTTCATCTGCCTTAAAAGAAAAGCGCTCGCTCAAACGAACATTCCTGAGGCCAGCTGAGATGGCAAGCAGCGAGGAACCCTTGCCACTCGGGCGGGTCAAGACTTGTTTAAACATGACATGACAACTAGTTCTAAAAACATGACATGACATTGCATTTACCCTACTCTCGAATTGGTCTTCCTATGGACGTTGATCTACACAGTCTTTGGGTTCAGCCAGAAGTGTCCCATTCACAGTTCCAGTCCAAAAGTAGTTATTCACCATCATCAACTTGAACCACTTGCAATCTAGAAAAAGGTAATTTGGTTTAGACATGTTTAGACGTATTGGTGGACCGAGAATTCATTCGCTTGTTCATTGGTTTGTAGATGCTTGGCTTGGACATGTGCCGGACATTAACACCTTTTTGGAGGACATCAACAAAGATGATGCATGCTACGCCCGGCTACGCCCTACGAGACGAAGGTCCTCCAAGTGGTTTTTCCCTCGAAGACAAGACCCCAAATAGAAACGTCTGTTGGGACGTCTGTTGAAAAAAATATGTATCCGTCGTCCAAAAAAGGAAGCGTGTGACACGATCTCAACATCTGGATACCTCCACTGGGTACTTCGTGGTGAAACGGAAAACACTCTCAGGTGCCGTGCTGGCGGGTGGACGCGTGTGGTGACCCGTCTCGACCAACTCGTTTGCGACACCGGTGACCGGTGTTCGATCTCGAATCCATGGATCCACCGAAGATGAGGGTGATGAGAGACACCTTGAAGATGTCGGCGCTGAATGGGGAATGTGACATCTGATGTTTCTGGGCTTGGGTGTTTCCGCCATTCTGAAGGGTTCTGAAGGCTGGGGGTGTGCAATTTGTGGCGTGGTCTTGTTTTGGGAGGGGTGGAGCATCTCCTCGGGAGCATCTTCAGATCACCATGCTCTCGAAGTCCTGGGGGATACAAGCTGTTTGCTCAGGTACAAAATCACCGCAAAGGTCGGCGGTGCAAGATGACCGGGGCACGAATCGTCAGGGAAAGTAAC